TTGATTTTCCCGTGCCAAGCTGAAATATCTAAATCTAGAAAAGAACAATTATTGTTGTTAATTCTAGATTTAAAGTAAGTAAATTTCCGCAGTATAATTAGAGAATTCTTGATTGTTTAGGAGCAAAGACAGCATCAAGGTAACAGTAAGTGTTAAACTTATAAAATTTATCAATTAACTGAAAGTTAGAAGGATCTTTACTGAGCTTGACCATAAACTTTGATTCATTACAATACAGGAACAAGTCTGCTGTTAAAGGGACACAATTGGTAACCAGATGATTACCTACATCTCGTCGGGAAACTTTATTGCCGCAACGTACATAAATGCTGTCAAAGAAAACATCTTCAGCTGAAACCATCTCATCAAAGTTCTAGTTGGTATATCTTACATATTTACTTTTGTCGTTACATAAAAAAGGGCTTTGAATGATCTGCAATCTGATTTGTTTTAAGGAATATTTAATCAATAAAAAAATCTTCTGTTTGATAAGATTTTGTGAAAGTGTAGTGTTTAATGTCAAAAATCAACCAAATTCAACCGTCAAAAGCACGTAATTTATCTAACTCAAAAAAGAGTTTATTTACACATCAAAAATATGCTTTAGTACACAAGTTAAAACAAGTTCTTTAATTTTCGTAGTAGGACTAGTGTAAAGCATAGAACGATTATAAGTAGAATACTTACTAGAAGCTGAGATGATATGATATTTGACGGCTTTTTGTGTGCAGTTTTGGAAGCCAAAATATAGTAGGGATTTTCAAATCTTAAGAGGAGGTCTAAAGCTGCGATGTGGTAGTGACATGATTGCTACCTATTTGACTCTCTGTGACCACAAGTCCTTGAATGTAAAATAATTTACAATTTTATTCTTAAGAACTTCTGTATAGTATTTACGTCAAACCACTACAACAATATTTGCTGCTTTAACGGTTGGTACGAACACAAATCATGATTTCCTTGATAGAGGGTTGCTGCTCACAAGGAAGCTATTAAACAAAGATTACCCTCACTACCGAGTTGACAATACCCTCACTACCAAGCTGATGATACCCTCACTACCGAGCCGATAATTCTCTCACTACTGAGCTGATGATGCCCTCACTACTGAGCTGATGATACCCTCACTACCGAGCTGATGATAGCCACACTACCGAGCTGATGATACCCTCACTACCGAGCTGATGATATCCACACTACCGAGCTGATGATACCCTCATTACCGAGCTGATGATATCTCACTTCTGAGCTGATGATTCATCACTAATACGCTGATGATACCCTCACTACTGAGCTAATGATTCAACACTACCGAGCTGATGTTACCCTCATTACTGAGTTGATGATACCCTCACTACTGAGCTGATGATACCCTCACTACTGAGCTGATGATGCTCTCACTACTTAGCTGATGATACCCTCTCTACCGAGCTGATGATACCCTCACTTCTGAGCTGATGATTCATCACTAATGAGCTGATGATACCCTCACTACCGAGCTGGCGATACCCTCACTACTGAGCTGATGATATCCTCACTGCTGAGCTGATGATGCCCTCACTACCGAGTTGATGATACCCTCACTACTGAGCTGATGATATCCTCACTGCTGAGCTGATGATGCCCTCACTACCGAGCTGATGATACCCTCACTACTGAGCTGATGATACCCTCACTACCGAGCTGATGATTCATCACTAATGAGCTGATGATGTAAGTGATTTTTCGAAATAATTTTTACCGCGTGTTCTTCCATGTGATCCAAGTTTTAAGTCAGATCGAGTCAGGTCTCTCGTCAGTTATTTTTCTTTCTTTTTAATTTTTAAAGTTTGCTTTTGTATCATGTAAATGCAGCTTTAAAAGTGCTATATAATTTGCAAAAGTTTGAACTAAACAGTGTATTTGTTAATCAAATTTCATACCATCTAAATTGACTTTCCAAACGGCATTTTAAGTCAGTTATATGTCAATTGTATTGTTTCGCCCGTTTTATAGAGGTGAACGAGTATTACAAAGGTACGAAATTTACTCGTAACATAATAAAATACTATAAGAGAATATCTCATATTGTTATCATGAAATAATTAAAGCGAATTACGGTAATAACCACAGTTGTAAGCCTGACACAACGTTTTAAAATGTTATTATATTAACTTCGTGATGGTAATTACAGTATGAAAATCGACATACGATGGCGAATAGTGAATGACCTTTTGGATTATAGTACAAAAATTAAAACAGACTTTATCTGATCGTGTTCAAATAAAGCCACACTCCACACGTTAAAGCACTTTTTATAGATGTCATATCAGATGCAACATTGCATTCGGCCCTACTCAACCCGACTTTTCACTTGCTAGTCACAAAACGTGGCCTTTTTGCTCATCTCTCCCTAGATGTCTTTTTGAAAATGTTTTAAACTAGAATCTATGAGAAACAAGATGATTTCAAATCCGGACAAGGAATCAGAACTTTGCATGAGGGAGATATATTCCTGAATTAAAAAAAAATCAAAAATTTTATAACAGCAAATTTTAATCAAACAATATCCGTATTTTCATGCCAGTACCGAAGTACTGACTACTGGGCTGGTGATAACCTCGGGAAAAGCAGTTCACCAGCGTCTAATCTGTAATTTTATTTGTGACATTACCGATTGTGGCATTTTTACTAAGCGTGGATTCGCAAGGCGGGTGATGCATGTATAGCAGAAAACACTTAATCGATTATATCTCCCTTTGGAGTTCATAAGGTTTTGTTTGTTATATTTTGTACCTTGATTTGCATTCTTAACAGATTCATTAGATTTGAAAACATCGGTAAATTAATGATGTATACATGTTGTGTACAAGTTACCATTTTGTACAAATTATAATTTATACTAAAAAAAATGTACATATTATAATTTGTATTTTGACTTTGTACAAATTGTAATTTGTCCAAAAATGACTTGCACAAATTACAATTTGTACAAAATTTGATTAACATTTGACTTATAACTTGTACAATAATTCATAATATAGATTTGGTTAAAGAAAAAATATATGGTACACACTGTACAATTTTTATTTAATGACCACACAATAAACCTTATTTACAAAATACAAAAAAAGTTCTGTATCAATTGTTTGAGCATGTAAGTGAATAATGGCATCGGGAATTGCACAACATCTTTTGTTGTTTACATTTACATTCAGAAAGGCTGCACACCTTTGCATTAACATGAAAAAAACCCTGACCGACAGTTTTTGAAAGCGATTTAACTGCTTCACGTAGTAAAAGTTGAAGCTCTGGAACCGTACAAATATCCTGTTAAAACTCCTACAGCTGTTCTAACGCGGTACTCAAAATCTCTAGATTCAACATTTACGCCTAAGACATTTTGAGGATTAGTTGGGGCATGATCATATTAGTTTTATAAATTATCCCCACAGCAAGTTTTGATAATTTCCATTTCGTTTTCTTGGTAAGATATTCGGCTTATATCTGTTGGCCAGACAGCGCACGGTTCCTGGCACGTATGATCGGTGTTTCAATGTCAGTGTCATCCTGATTGTCACTGGAACCAACTTCTATTGCACTATCAAAATTAACAGGCATGCATGTATCAATTATATTTCCTGTCTCCATCTTAGTATCTCATTCTGATTCAGCTGATTCAATTTCTGTTTTTGTATTTTCATCAGGATCATCTGTTTTGATCACTTTCTTTTTGTTCTAAATTTTGTTCTAATTCTTCGTTGGTTTCTAGATTAGGCAACAGTTCTTTTGGCAGAGTAGATGAAGATAAACCAATATTTGGCTCTCGCCCAAAAAGATTGGTCGATAACTCTATGATGAGAACGATATTTTTGAAACTGTACAATTCGCAAACCTTTAGACCATTAATTGCGTTGTATCATTGTCGTTCATCCATGATGTTTACATTTCCTTAATGTCTGCATTTGCCTTGCCTTCTACACTTAAGGGGTTTAAGAACACTAAATTTGGTGAAATGATCCTGATAGTGCATTATCCAACTATGGTCCCTATCAGGTATAGATTGGAAAACACTGATTATATGTGTCCAATTGACATATACCAAGGATCTCAATTATTTTAAACATTGAACATTACGTATACAAAGCAGATGTATAACTTTTATTTATGAACTAAAATACACAAAATGTACCATTGCTTCCTTTCTAGGTGAGATTTTCGATTTCAGCTACTTGGACAACATCCTATTTCTTAAGCAAGTATCTATCCTGATATTTTTTTTCAAAACTGTTTTGCCATACTTCACTATAGCTATAAGGTCATTAAGCTTGTCCTTAGTGTACATATGATTATGCTTTGATGTATAATTCTCTGCTAGTTTCAGAACTTTTTGGACAAATTTATCCTGCTCAACAATGCTGGCCATGTTTACACTATTACATCAACTAAGTAAATGACCAAACGAGTGTTCACAAACACGTGGGATACATATCTTTGGCAACTCATTAAAGCAACTGACCCCAAAATAATGAACAGTTGAACAGTGTTCAAGGAGAGCTGAATGCAAAAATGTTTTCCTCAAGGCGATTAAAATTTATTACTGTTAAAAATATCTAAAAGGCCATTATTTCTATCCTGGTACAAATTAGAGGTGAATTTTAGTCAAATTTGTTACAAATTGTAATCTGTACAAGCATTTTGTGGACAAAATTAATTACAATTTATAAAACGTTATCATACACATAATAATTTGTACAAAATGATAACTTGTACACAACATATACATAGCTAGGGAGTACCGCAGGACATATGATATGACGAACTCAATTGATCAATTTTGTTGAACGTTTCTCAGATACTATTTGTAAACATAAGAAAAATGATATTTGAAATGAGCATACAACGAAATATTCATAACCGATTTGCAAAAAAGTTGACAAATGAACAATATCAATTGAAATATACCCAAAACAATTTATTAAATCACCGGGATGAACCAAAAGAAGAAACAAAACTTGCACTTAGAAGTTTATAGTTTTTAATTCTCTGAAAGAAAATAGAAAACAATTGATAATAGTATTATTGTATTTACAAAGAAACCTTTTTTCACTATCTCAATTATTTCGGGTAGTGACAATTGTTAAATTTCTCCCTACAAAATAAAGATAAGGACCGGAATGTCTTTTGTCCTGATAATTAGAAATTCCTTGAATCAAAAGTCCGAATTTCACATAGTTTACATGTTTAACAATGTGCCATCCTTCTTTGATTGATATAGAGAATATAGAGTATAAGGTTTCAAATACGCGAACATTTGTTACACTAACATGTAAAAGTTCGAACTGACGGTTGTTTATACGAACACCGGACACCTCTCCCGATGGAACAATGAAAGTGGCAAAATTTTCATCTGTATTTCCTGGAACAACAAACTCGTAGTATGGTAGATACTGGTTTATACCAGGTACAACATTATCAATTGTTCCCGTGTGAGGACTATACGCCTTTAGAAACAAAATAATTACTTCTTGTGAAGATACAACCGTTGTATGTTTGTGATTGGTTGTCAGATAGTTGTTCTCATCCAATATCGAAGTGGATATTGTATTATTAATGTCTTTAAACTCAATCTTCGTCTTGTACTTAGAGAATATTCTGAGTCCTAGGGTTTTTATTAGATTTGATAACTGCGGAACAATGAACACTTTACTGAAATCGTTTAAAGGAAGTACAGGGATGACCTCTGGAATGTACGTTTTAAAAAACAACGCAAATGGTCTAGTACCGTTCACATATGTTCCAGTGAGGTGGCATTGTTCACAGCTTATATAACTATATTCATATTGTTCTGCATTAAATGTCAATTTATTGCCGTCAAACATGCTTTCATTGAATGTTATATTACTCAAGACCCACCTCGCCGTCTTAAAATTAACCGTCACTGTCGTATTTTCTTCGAAGGCAATAACACTAAGTGCGTCAAACTTTTGATGAGGTTTAAACTGTGGGATAACATACTCATTTGACAATCCTTTTGATGGAATAACAGGGAAAGACTTCCAGATTGTACCGTGTTCGTCTGTTAGGAAATAAAATAGATAAATAAATACTTCACACACAACTCGTATGTGTGCATCACCACTGATTTTCCCAATACCGAGATTGCCATACTTTGATAAATCAAAGGAGGTATAATTTCCCTGTAATGCTATTGTTTTATAACGTTTTACAGACGGTAGGATAAGATCACAACGTCCGCTTTTCTCAGACGACAGGTGCAGAGTTATATTTCTATACTTTGGATTAAAAGCGACGAAGAACTGGTACCCCTGTAAACCTGCAAATATAGTTGGTATCGTCAGAATTACTTTAGTGTAAGACTATGTATATCAAAATAGTGTACAGTACCGGATATGCACATTACTTATTTTTTTGTCATGAGTTTGTTTCTTTATGTATAATACAATTAGTTGTCCTACAGCATTTTAGAAAAAAAAGGCAAATTGGTGTACATCTATTTGAAAAAAACAATTTGAAAGTATAATGGCATAATCAAACAAGATCAGGAAAAAAAACGTGTAACAAGAAACACCGTGAAAGCAGGAAATAAAATTAAGAATGAAAATTTTTTTTTCTTTACTTTTCCACACCAAATGCTGAGAGACTGTTTGCTGTATTATTTGTCTATAAAACCTGGATACAATAAATTTGCTTCTGTTAGCATGACAAAAATATAATATACATAATACATCCGAATGGTTATATATTAGTTTTTGATATTTGAAGTACAGGTTTTAACGTTATAGTCTATTAACATGAACGATTATATTTTATATGTGTCAGTGTTGCCTGCTGTGTACATGTGAGCTTGAAAATTAGTATGTTATAGCATAAACCCTTTTTGTTTGTCTTGACCTTGTCTTTTCGGCATATTATTTTTTCTTGTCTTTTAATTTTGTACAATTTTATTATTCCTATCGCTACATGACATACCTCTATATTTGCAATTCTTTCCCAGAAATCCCTCAGCACATAAACAATAAGAGGAGTGTCTTGTAGTTATACAAGTACCCCCATTATGACAAATACCTGATATTATACATAGGTCTACAATGGTAGAAGAAAACATCTTATGAATGAATCAGAATGTAAAATATTAATATCACATAAATACATTCGTTTATTTTTAGCGCAATTCAAGTAAACCTATCCTTTCAGATAGACAATTTGTAGCTTGTAAAAACCTTAATTCAATTGTATAAACTAGGCATTTGCCTAAAATCGGCAATTTTTTACAAAACAAACTCGCATATTGTCATGATATTGACACTTCATTAATCTAATTTTATAGGACAACGATGAATTTCAAAACATTCAAGTGTCATATTAACATAACGCTTCGATGACGCGAGAACAAAAATGGACACAAGGCATCATCTGTAATTGTTTTATTGACAAGAATTTTGCTGCTCGAAGTAGTTTTATTTAAAAAAAGAAGTTGGCATGCCTCAAGCCCGCCTGCAAAATTTCAAACGACACCCGCAAAAGCACAGGCACGTGTTTGAATTATCATATTTATCTTTGAATTTCGCCTTATCAACTGAACAAATATGCGTTGTAATTACTAATATCGAAGGAAGAAATTGAACCGATTTTTCTCGTTAAATTCTTTTATCACGTTAGCATGGACACAGTCAAATATTAAAGTGTCAAATATAGATTTAATTCAAATAAATTTGCAAAATTTATAAACGCTTTACAAAAAAACAATATTTCAGATGTACATTATTATGAAGTTTTAGTGTAACACACAATGGCATACCACGTGTCACTGAATATAGTTTCCCTTTTTTGTTTGTTTTAGGGAGTTGGGGTTCTTAAAAAGTTGTCCAAATTAAAATTATATATATTAACATGTGATGCGATATTTGGGTTTGTTTGTCTGAACTAAGAAAGGAATATGAGAGTTGTCTATTTGTTCCGTTGGTTTATATTGTCTAAAGTTTGATTTTGTCAGTTTTCATGGACTTCCCCTGTTTGAATTTTGAATACCTGTTCGGTATTTTTGTTATACTTTTTAAAATATGCAACGTTGCAATTGCATGTGTATGCGTAATTAATTGAACCTTATCGGTCTAACGTAAGAAATATTACCTTTGATTTCACATAGTTTTCCAATGTATCCTGCTGGACAAATACACAACATGGTATTGTTGTACGTCACACAATGTCCGTTGTTGATACAGGGTGCTTCTGTCGTACATTTATCTGTAAAATAAAGTTATCTGAAGGTACAAACATTTATAATGATTATTTCAATTTTTGATGTGGATGTTTCATAGAAATAAGATGTGGTGTGAGTGCCAATGAGACAACTCTCCATCTTCATGTTTGATATCGACATTTCAAAAGTACATATATGTACAGATATATGGATGATTTATTGTTGTTTGCTCTATTATCTATGAATAAATGGCTTTGGTGGTCTAGTGGTTGCGTTTTCCGCTCGAGTTCTTGGGGTCGTAATATGATTTTTCACCTTGTCAAATCAAAGGATTTAAAACTGGTAATTGCTTCCTATCCATCTGGAATAATATGGTATCGTTTTAATTGTGCCTATATTACCTTGTTCGGTTGACTGTAATTCTCCTATTTGGGTTTATTACAATGTTGACTGCTGTATCCCAATCAATTTTTATACATTTGTACCTATTTTGTTTGTTTGTTTTGCTCACACATTGTTGTCAATATAATGGAGTTCTATGCGACTGTCATACAGTGAGAGGTTTAGCTAACTATAAAACCAGGTTTAATACATCTACATAAGGAAATGCCTGTACCAAGTCAGGAATATGGCAGTTGTTTTCCTTTCGATTGATGTGTTTTAGCTTTTGATTTTGCCATTTTATAAAGGACTTTTCGTTTTGAATTTTCCTTGGAGTTATGTTTTTTTTTTTTTATTTTTGTGATAATAGAGCAGAATTTATCTCTCAGAGAAAAACTAATAAGATACGTCACAATGTGAGTTCTGAACTTATCAGGCTTAATACCAATAGAACAACCAAGCGCAAAAATAACTCAAGGAGGCAAACAACTACAGGAATTAGTAGGTTATAAAAGACTATCGGATTTTCCCATTTATATCGTAAGATTTCCGCCGCTCGACACAATGTGACTATTAGTTGATAATCTACGTTATTAATGTGCAAAACAAACCCAATTACTTAGATTTAAGAGTAAATACTGGTTGGGTAAGAGCGAGGAATTGTGTGAAAATAGGTTGTCGTGATTTCATGAGAATTGTTACTTTTGAGATACATGTAGCACGTTAAAAAATCCAGCATGTCCGTCTTGAGCAAATATAGTTCATATATCATGTGAGAAAAACAACGAGTTATGTTCTTGTCATGAATATAGTTGAAACCTTATTCGGCCTTTAAATCCTACCAAATATGGTTTAAAACTAGTAACTGTTATTCCAACTATTCGAAAAAAAACGCAAAAAAAATTGACCTACAAAACAATACACAGAAAACTAAAGCCTGAGCAACACAAATCCCACCATAAACCAGGGTGATATAATGAGCTCAGGAATGGTAAGCAGATTTTGATCCATATGTGGTATCCATCGTATTGCTCATGGTAAGTTCAAAGTCGGTGATATATGAGAACGGGATTGCGGTAACGGCTGTTCGGTAACGAAAATTTGAACATATACGTGGTCTAGGTGATAAAGATATGCCACGTTTATTCCTAGAATTTACCTCCCAGAGGATGCCTTATATTAGAAACTTCAAATGTGAGAGCAGAACCTAACTATAATGATATTCTCATGTCAATTTGCAAAACACACCAGTTTGATTCTCCTTTACTTCGTTTTTGATTTAGTCATTCGCCTGTTTTTGGTTCTGCTACTACTGATGGTTCTTATGTAATCGAATAGCGTGTTTAGTGTACAAAACAAATTATAAACCTGCTATTTTTTTATGAGTTTTTACTCTCATCAATTATATATACATTTGTAAATACATCGCATTCCTATAGGTTAATTATACTTTTTAACCGGGAGGATCAAATCTTTCTATAAAGATAGTACTAGAAAATATATAAGATAATTATCAGAAATTAACATTTGTGTACCTTTTTCCTTTTCAGTCAATGTTGTAGACTGTCGAAATACTATTATAAGAGGGACTATTAATATCGCTGAGGTAACACAACCAAGCATAAAAAAGAGGAACAATTTCTGTTTCTTATATTTCTTTTCAGTGGAAATCGAGTTGTCATACATCCTCGTTGATATTCGAGGGGTACATGCATTCCTGTTACCCCACTCAACAATTTCTAAATACTCGTGTAAATCATTGTGAGTCGGAGATGGTTCCTCATAATCATGTGATGCCATTTTATAAGAAAGACATGAATCAGAATTCTGAAATACAAAAAAAAGTATTGTAAATATCCTTTATTTTTTAAAGGTTACAAAATATTAGGACAAATTTAAGTGACCAGTTTTCTTTTCGAATGTGGAGAAAGTGTGCATATAAATCAAATGTCTGAATTTAAATGCTCTTATAATTATTGTTAAATTGCAATACAGTCTTTATCAGCAATCTGTAGCGCTCATGATCACTAACATTTTGATTGCATTTTTTTAATATGCAAAATTGTTGATAAGTAAGTTTGAATTTTGAATAGACTAACTAATATTCGATGACCAGCAAGTCTAAACATTTTTCCGATTTTGACCCTGTGAGTGAAACCAACATAGGGGAAACTTACACCTCTTTAACTGAACCCGAACTTAAACGTCTGAGCATACCAGTCTGGTTCAGATTTCAAGAAATTTATCAGACATTTTCTGACAGTTAATTCAGTATTGTCTAGATGCTTTGCCTTAATCAATCCACAATCTTTCTCTATTGTTAGATTCTTTTTTGAACGGTGGTGTTCCATTTGCCCCAAATAACGGTGTTAATATCCCAAACTCGTTTGTTACACCCGTGTCTGTAGTGAGGTTATTATAGATATCAATGCACGTTATATATATTTCACAGATAATTATCAAGTCATGAAATTTCGGCGCTATGTAAATCTATCGATCCTTTGAATTAACCTTTTTTAAAACGTTGTAAGTCTTTGACTATTTTTTATTGGTACTAACATTGCTATTTTATTAATATATTAAAACATAACTAAGTATGTATTGCTGTACACTTATGAACACTAAGTTAAACGATCCTACATCCTGTCGATATTTATATTTTGCCATTGCATAAGGTTATATTTTTCTCGGACTGTTTATGACGTCTTTACACTAAATCTATTAGGGGTAAACTGATTGATATTTTTAGTCTAGGAAACATGATTTATAAATTAGTTGTAATTGACTTTGAACTAGTTTTCAGAAACTGCAATTACTCTTAGGTCAGTACTCTGTTCTTTATTCTTTCTGCTGTTTGTTTTATTTTATTTCGATCTGATAGGATAAGCCCTTTTCAACTGATTTGTACATGCTTTTTTATGTTGTGCTGTTTCACTTCCGTCTCAGATAAGGGGGTGGTGATAAACCCCGCAAAAAATCCAATAAGGGTATCATAATTCTATAAGATATTATATGAATTTCAGACATATTTCGAGCGTTACTCGAGTTGCCCAGCACTCGTTGAATACCTTAGAATATACACAATAAAGAATTTATAGATTTAAGCAAAAGAAATAAATAAACTTACAGAACATACCCAAAAAGATTAAGATACTGTAAAATTGGCATCGTACTTACAATAATTGGTTACATCCATGAACAATACCTGACTAACTTCTATTTAGTCATCATAAATACATTCGAAATACTAAAACTGTCATTTCACCACTGTTTATCAAGCAATTATATTCACTTCATTATAAAAATTCAGATATTAATATTGATTTTAGCTGACATTTACAAAATACAATGTTCGTGAATTTTAATAAGTACAACAATCTGAAGGGAATTTGCTTTCTTCGTGGCTAAGAAACAAAAGGGTAAAAGACAACGAGATTACTTTCTTTCATGTGACTAATCGAGATGAGTATGGGAGATGGGAGATATAAAAAACACTAAATGAATCCCGCCATATGCATGCTTATCTGACGGTCCCAATTTGCAAACGTAGCTAGACTAGTTGTTGAACTTTGTTTTCCAATTATTAAAAAATTCCTATGGAATTATTGTCTCTTAATGAAAATGAACTCTTTAGAAGAGGACCATATTGAGAATTTTTTTAAGGTGGAGTACGTATATTCTTTTTTATATGTCAGAGGAGCTTTTTGGAGCTTCTTAATAAAAGAAAACAACACTTTATAACTGAGATAAAGGATACAACAGATACAGTTACGTCTGCCTCATATCTTGACTTACATCTAAAAATTGACGATGAGGGTTGGTTGAAAACAAAACTTTACGACAAAAGAGATGATTTCGGCTTCCCAATTGTGAACTTTCCATTTCTATGCAGCAATTTTCCAACAGCGCCTGCATACGGAGAACAAATCTCCAAGTTGATACGATATTCAAGGGTTTGTATTTCCTATCATGATTTCCTTGATAGAGGGTTGCTGCTCAAATGGAAGCTATTAAAACAAGTGTTCCAAGTGGGGAAGTTGAAATCATTCCTTGGTAAATTTTAGAGACGTCATCACGAGTTGGTTGACCCTTATGGAATATCCGTTTCACAGATGATAGCGTATATGTTCAAAATGAAGTAAGTACAATCCCGTCCCCTTTTTCCCGATTGTGACCTACCGAATTAGACGTATTACTTTGTACTAACATGAACAACACGACGGATGCAACATGTGGAGCAGGATCTGCATACCCTTCCGGAACACCTGATCATCACCCCCCAGTTTTAGTTGGGTTCGCGTTGCTCATTTTTAGTTTTCTATGTTGTGTTTTGTGTACGATTGTTTGTCTGTTTGTCCTTTTCTTTTTTAGCCATGGCGTTGTCAGTTTATTTTCGACTTATGAGTTTGAACGTCCTGTTGGTATCTTTCGCCTCTCTTTTATAAGTTTCATGCGTCCAAAGCGCTTTTCTGAATTTATCTTCATGAGGAAAGCTCAAAGACAAATATTTGAAAGCCATCTTAGGTCAATTTGCCTGCGAAAGTTATCTGATTGACATGCAAGTCCCATCACTTGTGGAATCTGAAAAACTGTTCAAATCGAAAATGATCTTAGTCCATGTATAAGTTGTGACCTTTTCAAAGTAACTTATTGCAATCGGTCACAGTAAAAGTGAGTATCAACTTGCATATGATAAACTGCCTGGCATTTGAAAATCAACCCCCATTATTCTGCTATGATTAATCTGAACACTCGAAAGGTAGCTTCTTTCATATCACCTAGGATTGATTATTATTAGGATTTATTAATAAACTCATCATAGATACACTTAAAGCACACTTAAGTTATCACTAGCCACTAAAGAATTGCCTGTATAAAAATAATGAGATGTGGTATGATTGCCAATGAGACAACTATCCACCCAAGTTCAAATGAAGTGGATGTAAGCAATTATAGGCAACCGTACGGCCTTCAACAATGAGAAAACCCCATACCGTTTGGTCGGCTATAAAAGGCCACGAAATGAAAAATATGAAACAATTCAATTGAGAAAACTAACGGTCTAATTGAAAACAAAACAAATATGACAGACATGAACCAACGACAACCACTGAATAACAGGCTCCTGACTTGTGACAGGCACATAAAGAATGTGGCGAGGTTAATTATGTTTGTGAGCTCTCAACCCTCCCCCTAAACTGGTACAGTGTTGTAACAGTACAACATAAGAACAAACTATAAAAATCAGTTGAAAAAGGCTTAACTCATCAGATGGATACAAATAGAAATACATCTTATAGAAACACAGAGTGAACGTGGATGGGTACTTATACATACCAAAATCAAAAAGACACTAAGTAAAGATCTGAGAATACTCGCAGTTACTTACATAGTTATTTTTGAAAATTTAGAGGAAATAAAAAATCTTTTGAATTACCACTGTGAATATCATCAAAAGCGGAAGGGTTCTAGTGTTCAATGTTTTTTTTTGTGCAACAGTTTGTTGAAGCATACATGTGTTATCGCCCGACGTATATATACGTGTTCAGACGGAGAGAGAACGGAATACGGTACAAATTATAGTTCGTCTTCGATGTGCGTTTCGAAATTCAAAATCAAAAGGCACACATTTTGAAAGATAAACGCCGAATTTTCAGATCTTGACAGACAAAATATTGATTATAAATTAATTTTCTAACTTTCATTGTTTTGAAGTTTAGAGATTTGGCTATTTATAAAATGATTTGAATTAAATTGTTTACTTTTGTTGTAGAAACCATGGATGTGTGAAATAAATAATTTTAGTGTTATATTCCAGAAAGCAGTTTTATAGCAAATTATATTAACGTTGTATATCATGGTAATGCAACAATACATATTCGTTCTATTGAAGAATACACGTCTCCGGTTAAATGTGTTTTTTGGGGCTTTTATCAACAATGTTAACATTGCAAACTATTGAAAAATTTCATGTAAAAAAACAACAGGCACTTATTGAAAGAAGGTAATATTCTTCTTAAACTTTATATGTAATGAAGCCTGGGTTTTCGATAAAGCATAAATTAGGATGAGAAAATAGTATGTTCTGTGCAGCGTACATAGAAAATATTGTGTTAACGTTATTACAGTACCTTAATCGTTTTATAAGGCATATACATAAAATTATGCATATCTAGATAAAAAAAAACACACACTTTTGAAGAATTCAGATTAAACATAGGAACCCCTTTCCCTGATTTGAATGCATATTAAGATGAAAAATAAACCACAACTTTAAAATCAACTGCAGTAAAAGAGAGACGAAAGATACCGAAGGGGCCTTCAAACTCACCAAACGAAAATTAACTGAAAACGCCATGGCAAAAAAATAGAAACGACCAAAAAACAAACAACAGTATACAAAACACAACATAGAAAACTAAAAACTGAACAACAAAAACCCCACCAAAAACCGGGGGTTTTCGAAATACTAAAACTGTCTTTTCACCACTTTTTATCAAGCAATTATATTCACTTCATTATAAAAATTCAGATATTATATTGATTTTAGCTGACATTTACAAAATACAATGTTCGTGAATTTTAATAAGTACAACAATCTGAAGGGAATTTGCTTTCTTCGTGGCTAAGAAACAAAAGGGTAAAAGACAACGACATTACTTTCTTTTATGTGACTAATCGAGATGAGTATGTGAGATGGGAGATATAAAAAACACTAAATGAATCCCGCCATATGCATGCTTATCTGATGGTCCCAATTTTCAAACGTAGCTAGACTAGTTGTTGAACTTTGTTTTCCAATTTATTAAAAAATTCCTATGGAATTATTGTCTCTTAAAGAAAATGAACTCTTTAGAAGAGGACCATACTTAGGATTTTTTAGGATGGAGTACGTATATTCTTTTTTATATGTCAGAGGAGCTTTTTGGAGCTTCTTAATAAAAGAAAACAACACTTTATAACTGAGATAAAGGATACAACAGATACAGTTACGTCTGCCTCATATCTTGACTAACATCTAAAAATTGACAATGAGGGTTGGTTGAAAACAAAACTTTACGACAAAAGAGATGATTTCGGCTTCCCAATTTTGAACTTTCCATTTCTATGCAGCAATTTTCCAACAGCGCCTGCATACGGAGAATAAATCTCCAAGTTGATACGATATTCAAGGGTTTGTATTTCCTGTCATGATTTCCTTGATAGAGGGTTGCTGCTCAAAAGGAAGCTATTAAACCAAGTGTTCCAAGTGGGGAAGTTGAAATCATCCCTTGGTAAATTTTAGAGACGTCATCACGAGTTGGTTGACCCTTATTGAATATCCGTTTCACAGATGATAGCGGATATGTTCCAAATGTCGTAAGTACAATCCCGTCCCCTTTTTCCCGAATGTGACCTACCGAATTAGACTTATTACTTTGTACTAACATGAGCAACACGACGGATGCAACATGTGGAGCAGGATCTGCATACCCTTCTTGAGCACCTGATCATCACTCCCAGTTTTAGTGGGGTTCGTGTTGCTCAGTTTTTAGTTTTCTATGTTGTGTTTTGTGTACGATTGTTTGTCGGTTTGTCTTTTTCTTTTTTAGCCATGGCGTTGTCAATTTATTTTCGACTTATGAGTTTGAATGTCCTGTTGGTATCTTTCGCCTCTCTTTTATAAGTTTCATGCGTCCGACGCGCTTTTCTGAATTTATCTTCATGAGGAAAGCTCAAAGCCGAATATTTGAAAGCCATCTAAGGTCAACTTGCCTGAGCAAGTTATCTAGTTGACATGCAAGTCCCATCCCATCACTTGTGTGAGTTTGACTGTCCCTCTGGTATCTTTCGTCCCTCTTATTGGAATCTGAAAAACTGTTCAAATCGAAAATGATCTTAGTCCATGTATAAGTTGTGACCTTTTCAAAGTAACTTATTGCAATCGGTCACAGTAAAAGTGAGTATCAACTTGCATATAATAAACTGCCTGGCATTTGAAAATCAACCCCCATTATTCTGCTATGATTAATCTGAACACTCGAAAGGTAGCTTCTTTCATATCACCTAGGATTGATTATTATGAGGATTTATTAATAAACTCATCATAGATACACTTAAAGCACATTTAAGTTATCACTAGCCACTAAAGAATTGCCTGTATAAAAATAAGGAGATGTGGTATGATTGCCAATGAGACAACTATCCACCCAAGTTCAAATGAAGTGGATGTAAGCAATTATAGGCAACCGTACGGCCTTCAACAATGAGAAA